CTCTCATTGAAACATGAGCACACCATACTGCGTATTTGGATGTAACAATAAAACAAAAGCTTATTATGAAAAACGAAATGGAAGTAAAATGGAATAAACCAAACTATTTACATGTTTGAAGATTTCAAATCACGTAAAAAAGCCTTAATTCCAAAAAATTCTGCCTTACAGATCACTTGTTCACAATATTCTCACCAGAGAGAATTTTCTTTATTATCACCTTTCTATGTTTAATTTATTGAAGAGTTCAATTCCAGGCCTTAAGAATATGATAAACCTGTTCCTGGTAGGACCGTACGCCAGAGTTTAAACATTCTCAGCTTCAGAAACACAAAACTCGTATGCCACTAGTTCAAAATCAACAATCTGAACTCAAATGATATTAAAATATACACAAATCACACACATTACATCACAAATAGTAAATATCATGAATGCCTAGCCTAGGAGAGAGCTCTCTTCTGCTGTGTCAACTGCACGTACGTCTGTTTGCCATGTATCCATAAGCATTTTTTTCTTATTCTCCTTTCTTTTCCCCTTGACTTGTTTTTTTCCCCTCTCTCTGAAGTAGCAAATTCAGGCTTGTGTTGTGCTTTTGTGTATGCCAGTGACCCTCTGGTGTGTTACCGAAATAGATGCTGTCAGCCAATTGTTGATTATTTGAAGTTGTGAAGTGCCTGCCTACCTCTATCCTCAGCTAGTTTGTAGATGCAAGGTCCCAGCAGAGACTGAGCAGCAATTGTCAGTGACGAAATATCTCACATGTACAGGATAGATGTGCTGAAATCAACTTTGGGGAGGGAATCCAAAATTGGATCTGACTGCCCTACACAATACGAGGAGGCAATGGCCTAGTGGTATTATCGCTGAATTATTAATCCAGAGACCCAGATAACGTCCTGAGGACCCAGGTCCAAATCCGGCCACGACAGATGATAGAATTTGAATTTAATAAATATCTGGAATTAAGAATCTAAGGATGACCGTGAACCCATTGTTGATTGTCAGGAAAAACCCATCTGGTTCACTAATGTCCTTTATAGAAGGAAACTGCCATCCTTACCTGGTCTGGCCTTCATGAATTGTGAGTCCGGCCTCAGCCATGTGGTTGAGTCTGAACTGCCCTCTGGGCAATTAGGGATGGGCAATAAATGCTACCTAGCCAGAGACGCCCTCATCCCATTAATGAATAAAGAACAAACATAAGTACTACCGTCACTATCTGGGTGGGAATCAAAAAGCTTCCTGACCCAGTCTGGCGTCAGGCGGGGCTGCCCTCTGTCTCCTGTCTTGCTTGTATTTTGCACAGAGCCTTTTGCCAAGTGCATCAGGAAGGATATGAGCTGGAGAAGGCAGATGATCCCAGGCGGCGGAGACCTGCAGGTCAAATCCTCCCTGTACGTAGATCTGTTGCCATTGAAGCACAGTCTAGTGAGCATCTTCGATCAACTTGACCTGACCTTGGGAGCCAAAATAAATCAAAGCAAGAATGAGGTTATATTCTATGGGAACTGGGCTGACTGATCATTTATCCCCTTCACCATCAGTCATGTTTCAGAGCATGCAGTTAAAGTTGGGAGGAGTGTATCACCAAGGGAGAAAGAAACTGGCATATGGAACCACTGCTCTCTCTTTGCAAATTAAAAACAAACTGGTCACCAAGTACGAGGTGCTCTCTATGTTGCCATACATGGCATAGCTATGGCTGATTCCCTGAGCCTGCACTGAAGCAGTCACCTGAGTCATCTGCTTTATCTGGAGGTCAGAAATAGATCTTGCCTGCAGGGACACCATGTACAAAACCCTGGATTGAGAGGGGAGAAACACACCCAATGTTGTTCACAGCCTTATGGCCAACCTTGTGTAGAGTTGCATCAAACAATGCATAGGCCCTCGGTCTAACACCAAATGTCACTAGGTGCTGAGGTTCTACCTGTCTCCAGTGTTGCAAAGGATGGGTTGGGGCATGTTGCTGCCGAATGCTCTAAGTAGTTGGACTGTACCATATCACCTATCCCTAATGGAAAAATTGAGGTCACAGATGACACACAAATTGACGGTATGGTAGATAGCAAGAAGAAAAGCCTTAGACTACAAGACATTTAGACAGGCTAGTCAGATGGGAAGAACAATGGCAAATGCAACTTAATGCATTTTGGGAGGACCAACAAGGTAAGGGAGTACACAATGAATGATAGGACCCCAGGAAAGATCAGGGGTATCTGGTGTCAATATCCATTGATCCTTAAAAGCAACAGAACAGGTAGTCAAGGGAAATGGGATACTTGCCTTATTAGTTGACACATTGAATACAACAGTAGGGACGTTATGATGGAGCAGTATGTTGGTTAGACCTCATGTGGAGTACTGTGTGCATTTCTGGGTGCCACACTTGGATGGACGTGATTGCACCAAACAAGATGCAGAGGAGATTTCACAAAAGCAAAATGATTCAGATGCAGAAAATGCTGGCAAAACTTAGCAGGTGCATTGGGGAAAGGCGATTGTCTAAGGTCTTTCTGCTACAATGTACCAAGGTGCTGTTAACTTATAGGGCCACGTAGGTTGTATGCTTGTAATGAAATGTTTCTAGCTAATATATTGTTTAAGAAATATGATTTTGCAATTGAATTGAAGCACCTAAGAAAGCAAATTGCTCAATTCAGAAAAGTGGTATTTCACTGTATTTTCAGTAATGTCCAGTTCTCTTATTTTGTAATGTACATGCAGATATTTCAGGAGAAAAGTATTTATTTCCAATATCAAAAATTCAGTGGGAATGCTGAGCCGTTTATCCTTCTTCTCTAAACCCAGGGTAGCTGAAACCAATTGAAGTCTGTGCTCGTTCTTTTCTCCACCTTCCATGAAAAGATATTAATTGCCAATCGCAAAGTTTTCATATGGAAGTCTTTCTTTCGTAGTAGCTTTTATGTGTGTCAGTGTCATTCACAGTGCCAGGACATCACAAAATGCTTTACAGTAAATCATGGACTTTCAAAATATACTTACTAGTCTAATGGAGGAAGCATGACAGGTAATTGGAGTGCGGCAAATTCGCACAAATAGCAGTGTGATAGTGGAGCCAAATAATTGTTGTCTGAGGGATAAATATTAGCCAGGACCCCAGAGGTGATTCCGAAGTAATTCAAAACAGTGCTACGGGATCTTTTATATCCACTTGAAAGGATAGGTGGAGCTTCAGTTTAATACCTCACCAAAATGTTCTAAACTAAAAACAAAAAATGCTGAAAGCATTCAACAGGTCAGGCAGCATCTAGAAAGAGAAAACCAAGAGTAACATTATGGGATGGTGACCTTTTCATCTGAACTGGTATTGGAGACAGAGTGAAAATTTGGCTCTGCCCAAACCCTGTACACGTCTCCAGACATTCTCTCAGCATCTCCATTCGACAATCACTTCACTGATTTTGCAGTGAGATCATGTCTATTTCTAAACTTTACAGTGTTATTGGTTCGGCTCTGACAAAAACCTGCCATGTAGAGTTAGCCAATGCAGACAGTTTTTCTATCTATCAGAGCTATATCATCTGGTCATTTATCCATTGTGTAATGGAAGAATTAGAGCCAATAAAATCTGGAGTTGGTTTCAAGGTGGATTTTGTTGCCCTTGAGAATAAACCATGATTTCAATATAAACCCATTCAGCAAATGTGCTACATTCATTTTAATTTTAATCTGAAATCAGGAACATTTTATTTCTATTCATTCATGGGACATGGGTGTCACTAGCTGGGCTGACATTTTATTACCTGTCCCTGGTCAGTCTTGAGAAAGTGTTGGCAAATATCCTCCTTGAACTACTGCAGTCCATTTAGTGTGCCACGGCACCCTCCCCCCCCCCCCCCCCCCCCCCCCCCACCTCCCCACCTCCAATAATGCTGTTAAGGAGGAAGTTGTATGATTTTGATCTAACAACCCTGAAGGAACAACAATACATTTCCAAGTCAGGATTAGAAGTGGCACGTAGGGATGGTGGTGTCCCGAAGTACTTGCTGCTCCATCCTTCTAAATGGTAGTCAGTGTGTGTTTGGAAGGCACTTTTTCTAAGGAGTCTCGGTGAATTTCTGCAGTGCATTTCATGGATGTCACACCATGCTGCATTTTTTCTTGTTCATTTGGCTTTTATTCCTTCCCTTGTGTTTTTTTTAATTCTGATTTTATATTTTAAGATGGCTCTGTAGAATGGCGACTTTGTACACTTTTCACTGAGCTCCTGTAATTCTGTACTCGAGTACATATGACAACAAAAGTCTAATTCAAATTCCAATTTGGTGGTGGGGATTTGAATGTTTGTGGATGTGGTGCCATTTTGAATGTTTGTGGGTAGGGCTGCCCTGTGCTGGATGGTGTCAAGTTTCTTGAGAGTTGTTGGACCTGCAGCCATCCAGTGGGGAAATATTCCATCACACCCCGACTTATGTCTTATAGGTGGTGAACAGACTTTGGAGGGTCGGGAGGTGAGTTGCTTTTTACAGTATTCCTAACCCTTGATGTGGTCTTGTAGCCACAATATTTATGTTGCTGGTCCAGTTCAATTTCTGGTCAATGGTGACCCCCAGGATGTCGTTTTTTTTTAAGAAAGCTGCATTAGCATCAAACAGACCTGAGCAGCCACATTGCTATTTTCTGGAGAAATTAGGAACCTGGGTCGGAAATTAAGAGTATTTTCTTTCACTTTAAAAATGAGAACAGCTATCATTATTTCTTGAAACATAACTGAGTAGCCCAGGATCATTGAACTAAAATGTTAACACTCTTTCTGTTTCTCTCTTTCTCCCCTCTCAGATGCCGTCAGACCTGTTAGATAATCTCAGTATGTTGTGTGTTTATTATAAACCATAACACGTCATTGATTATAAAAGCAAAGCCCTTTTACTTAAATAAAGAAAATATATTGGTGTTCACAATGGTTTTAAAATTATTTTTGCAGTAAATAAACTTCATGTTTTAATTTACTTTGTTTTCTGATTTCCTTACAGATGAAAACTTAATTTGTAATGGGGAGTTATAGACACTAAGCTTTGAAACACACAGCACTGTTTCTTCAACTCGTTGAAGTTTTGTTTTTAATTACTGTACTGCATTTTTTTTATCGTTTGGAGCTTGAAAGGCAAATGGTCTCATTAAGCCACAGTGAGCCACTGTGTATTACTGACCGGCTGACACCTTTGGGAAGTAACTGTAGTGGGCAACATGGCGAATTGGCATCAAACTCATCATTGCTGGAAGATGGTAGCAGTGATGGATGTAGCCCGCGATCATGTTCAAGCCCAGACTCCCAGGATGTTAACTATATCAACGTCCATTCTAGTGTGCTGGAGAAATATAGCATGATGGGCTTGTTGGTTTCAAAGCTGGACCCCCCAGCTGCTGAAGGCTGTTCCGAAGTGTTTGAAGCGCAGGTGAAAATGCCTGATTTTTGCTCCACTTTGACTGGTGACTTTATCCCCACGCTAGAGGAAATTGAAGAATTCTTGAAAGAAAAAATGGAAATCGTGAAAGATGGACTTACAGAAAACAGTGCCACCACAGAAATCAAAGTGGAGGTAAAATCGGAAGCTTTGGGTGACTCTTCATTAGAATCCAGTGAATGTTTTTTGTCATCTTCAGACAGCACTGGGCTTGGATCAGCTCCAGAGGTGACTCTAACAGCTGCAACTGGGAGCGTTCCCATGATTCTCCAGCTTCAGCCTGTTCAAGTGCCCAGTGCATGCCCAACCACACAAACTCCAAGCAGTGTGAAGTTGACTCAGCTAGTCGTTAATGTCCAGGGCCAAGCCTTTGCCTTAGTACCTCAGCGGGTACAGACTCCACCAAACAGTGCAACCCGCCAGTTCGTAAAAATTGCACCCCTACCAATAGCAGCGAGGTCTGTAGCTGTTGGTAGCTTGGTGAATGTTGTTGAGGCCACCCAGAAGCTTCAGAAATCATCCTCTGCCGATGTAATCAGAGTGCATAAGTGCTCGTTCCCGGGATGTAACAAGATGTATACCAAAAGCAGCCATTTAAAGGCACACTACAGGCGTCACACAGGGGAGAAACCTTACTCATGCACTTGGCCAGATTGTGGTTGGCGGTAAGTTGATTATATATCCGTTAACATGTTAATGAGTGTATTTATATATACCTGAATTTTACTTTCTCCTTTTGTCACATTTCTGTATCCACTTTTTCCATTTATAAAAATGCAGCTGAGAGGGAAATGCTGCGTAAATGTTTGTGATTAACACCTTCCTGCACCTCGCGGGTCTTCAGTATTGCAAGGAAACTCTCTGCTTCTCAAGTCCTTCTAAACTTTATATTTAACTGTAATTCATTTAAAATTGTTCATTATGTTTTTAATAAAAAGGCACAGACCTCAAAATGGGGACTGCGTTATATCTTGTGTTCCTAACTGGTTGAATCATCACCCTACCCTGTGATTCATTTGTCTTAATTTCTCGTGTGCACCACCATTGGTAATAAATGAATCTTCTGTTTTTTTTTAAAGAGTTAAAAGATTTTTAAAAAATTTCAGCCAGATTTGTGTTTGGAAAGTACAGTTGTACTTGAAATACTGGCTGGCTTGCTGTAGTCATGTGATTTCTACCTTTGCTTCCACCTTCTTAGGAAGCAGATGTGTTTTGATGAGTTAATCCCATGAGAAAGAATCAAACCATCTATGCATTTTGGTTTGATTATTTATTCCAATACATCAGAACTGCAGTTTTGGTTTTTGTATGACCTAGACCATCACTCAGGTATGAGACAAGGCTCTGAAATCTCTCTCATCTATTCTCCCATTCCGTCACCAAAAGCACATAAACTGGGTTTCTGGTGAGGTTACAACAGTAAAGAAGGAAGAAATTCCCAATCCAGGAGAGATGTTCGTTCTGGAAAAAGACCAGGTAGTACTCAAATTGCGTGTCTAAATTACAAAGAATATACAGGCCACTTGGCCCAACCGGTCTGTGATGGTGTTTATGCTCTTTACTAATGTCTTCACAAACTATTTGCTACATCTCACCTTGTTGACATAGCTTTGACTTTTTCCCTCGAGTATGGTTCTAGCCTTTTATTAGTTGTAATAATAGGCTGTGAACTTAGCCTGGAGGTGAATTGTGGGCATGATAATCTTTTTCATGTCAGAAATCCTCGCAAAATGCCTTCCCAGCCTCAAGGGTTTTAAACAGCAGAACTCTTTGAATGTTTTTGTTCCACTGATGTAAAGCAGTAAATCTAATGGATGAGAAAACCTGCAACACAAGGTCACAGCTGAGGAAAGTAGGTGCAGTTGTGGAAGATGGGGGTTCTGAATGGCGCTTAGAGAGGGTGGACTTGAGATGGTTAGTATGTGGATGTCATGTGGTTCAAAGGTCCAAGATACCTCAATCCATGGAGGAACAGGTGGAAGCACCATGACTCTTATAGTGGAGTGGGGTAGGGTGTAATTCTTGTCCAATGGTGGGTGATGGACAAGGCATCAGGCACAGAGGGGTGGATTTCAATGGTCACCAGTGGGATCCTGACAGCAATGAGGCTGGGAAAAATATTGTGATGGCTGTGGGTAGGATGCAGGCAAATCAAAGCATTCATCTGCTAGACACAAATGTGCATTTAAAAACAACAGGAATTGGAGATTACATTGATTTGTTTGAAAGCCTGTTCCTTTTGGAGCCTCCTCCTCAAACACAGTATGATTGTTTAGTGGTTGAAATTCTTTCTCTGAGAATTGCAAGTATTTGCAATTTTCCACTTCAAAAGTCAGTGGTAGCAGAGTTTTTAAATTTTTTAAGGCAAAGGATTGATTCTTATAAAGAGAGGGTGAAAGGTTATCAAGGGTAGGCATGGAATGTGGAGTTGGGATTACAATCAGATCAGCCATAATATCAAATGACAGAGTGGGCTTGAGGGGCCAAATGACATACTTATACTACAAACTTAGAGTTGTTCTTATTTGTCTGAATTTTTTTAAGTGTATCCTGATGTTTAAGTTTTGTTGATGGCCTGAAGTATTCAACTTGTTGTTATGACTGTGCACTCCTCCAGCCTCAATTACTCCGGTCTCTGCTCCACAGGTCACAACGTAAAATAAAAATACTTTTTCCAATTGCCAAGCTGACCAATTAAATGTTTTATATTCAACTTTAAACAAGATCTTTCAGTCATGTTACTTAATAAACACAGTTACTGGTTTATTATTGAAATAAAATGTATGTATAAAAGATGCAATAATTAGTTAACATATATAGCAATATTGAAGTATAAATGCTAATTACTCAAAATACATTCCAACATAACCTCTTTCTTTCCCTCAAATTGGCTTTCTGAAAAATAAAGATTTTAGCTAGTGGATTATTCCCAAAGGCAAGTTGTTAAGGTACAGAACGTGTTGTGATATAGTGGTGGTGTCCCCACCTCTGAGCCAGGAGGGCTTGTTTAAGTCCACACCAGCTTCAGAGGAGTCGAATAACATCTCTGATTAGAAAGTATCTAAGATGTTCCAGAGTGTGTTGCTCTCATGTTCTGGCAGGTGTGTTCAAGTCACTAATAATACACAGTGCTGAAGTCCTGCACAGACTGTTGCTCAATATTTCTCCATTACTCTTTCAAAAGAACAAATGGATTTCACTCTGAACTCAACAGATGGTTTAATTTTCAGAAATTGGAATGATCAGCTGGGCCCCTTGTTCTTGTCAAGCTTTCCTCCAGCTCAACTTGTTCTTACCAGGTTACCCTCTAACTGAACCAGATAAAGGAGCACCTCTCCACTGTTCCAAACAATCCAAACAGGGGTCTATAGCAAAAGCAGGCATTATCTCCAGTTTTGAGAATTACACACAGCCTTTTTTATTTTAAAGGAAATCTGTAATTCCCATGATGAACTTTCAATAACATCTTTTAAAGAAATCACTCCAAATATTTCCACAAAACTTGAAATAAATCCATTTTCCACAATCATTCAAAAATTAACTCATCCAAGCAATATTTTTGTAACATTGTTGAGTTCCTTACCTCAGTCAGGCCATCAGAGGCTGTATTTAATGTAAGTGTGAAACTGCCTTGACCTCCGAACCAGCTGTGGTAAAAACATGGTGGCATTAGTTCCTCTAGTAACATCAATTCTCAAAATGCTGGAATGGTGGGGAGGTTTTGGAGGGAACTGAAACTGAATGTTAACCTTAATTTGCTATTTTTCTTCAGCCACACCCACTATCCTACACAGAACAATAAGCTAGTTTACCATTTAGTATTAGGATTTCACCAATCTCCCCACCCCCGGCCTCATCCCATGACCAACCCTCCCTCTCCTTGACCTGACACAACCTGTCAATCTTCTCTCCCACCTCACTGACCAATCCCCACCACTGCCTACCTGCACTCACCTGTCACCATCCAACCTTCCCCAGCCTCACCCATCCTCTACTTATTTCTGAACTCCCTTCTCCCTTCCCCATTTCTGAAGAAGGGTCCTGACCTGAAACTTCAGCTTTCCTGCTCCTCTGATACTGCCTGCCCTGCTGCATTCCTCCAGCTCCATACTGTGCTATCTCTGATTCCAGCACCTGCAGTTCTTACTATCTCTGAGCAGGTTTACCATTGTTCAATTGTGTAAGATCTCCCTCACATTGAGCAATTGCTCAAGAATGGAAAATTAGTGGCAAAGTTGTTCCTGTTTTGCAAAGCAGACGGGTCAGAATTCCACCACCATGAATCATGTTGTCAAACTACAACAGGATGCGATCTCATGATCTCATGTGATCTCAAATCTATGAATAGGATGGGAATAGAGGGATACGGTCCCCGGAAGGATAGGGAGTTTTAGTTGTGATGGGCAGCATGTCAGTGCAGGCTTGGAGGGCTGAAGGGCCTGTTCCTGTACTGTAATTTTCTTTTGTTCTTTGTTCTAATATAAAGCACTGTTGCATCAAGAATGCTTTTGACGGCTGGATTGAGGGTTTTTGTATTAATGGCAGATTTTTAAAAAGCAGTGAAATGTCAGAGCTTCCCTTGCACCGTGAACACATTTTCATAATCCAAGTGAACTGTGATTTGATGTTTTTCTTCCTAATTCTCTCTTTTTAAAATGCAGTGGTAGTACCGTTAAGGGGGCGAGTTAGGTCACTCAGGGATAGCAAGAACTGCCGATGCTGGAGTCAGAGATAATGCAGTATGGAGCTGGAGGAACACAGCAGGCCAGGCAGCATCAGAGGAGCAGGAAAGATGACGTTTCGGGTCGGACCTTTCTTCAGAAATGGGGAGAGGGAAGGGAGCTCAGAAATAAATAGAGAGGAGGGGTAGGGCTGGTGGGTGGGATGGTAATGGGTGAATGCAGGTAGGGAGTGGTAGGGATTGGTCAGTGAGGTGGGAGGGGCGGATAGGTAGGAGAGAAGATGGACAGGTTGAGTCAGGTCAAGGAGTTGGGGATGAGAGGGAAGGTTGGCCATGGCATGAGGCTGGGGGTGGGGAGATTTTAAAACGGGTGAAATTCATACTTAGGCCATTGGGCTGTAGGCTCCCGAGGCAGAATATGAGGTGTTGCTCCTCCAGTTTGCGGGTGGTGTCATTGTGACACTGGAGGAGGCCCAGGATGGACATGTTGTCCAGGGTTTGAGACTGGAAGATGTTGTCATTCGTTGTGGAAGGAGTGCAGATGCTCTACAAAATGGTCTCTGAGTCTACGCTTGGTCTCACCGATGTAAAGGAGGCCACATCGGGAGCAGCGGATGCAGTAGACCAAGTTGATGGATGTGCAGGTGAACCCCTGTCTAATGTGGATGGTTTGTTTTGTGCCTTGAATGAAGGTGAGGGGGCAGGTGTATGGGCAGGTGTAGCAATTTCTGCGGTTGCAGGGAAAGATGCTGGGGGTGGTGGGGTTGGTGGGGAGTGTGGGGTGGACGAGGGAGTCGCGGAGAAAGTGGTCCCTACGAAAGGCGGATAGGGGTAGGAAGGGAAATATATCTTTGGTTCAAGGGTTGGATTGTAGGTGGCGGAGAATGATACGTTGTATGCGGAGCTTGGTGGGGTGATATGTGAAGACAAGGGGGATTCTGTCTTCATTTTTATTGCGGGGGGAATGGATGTGAGGGCAGAGGTGCGGGAAACACAAGAGATGCGATTGAAGGCATTTTCGATCACCGGAGTAGATCGCAGCTGCAGTCTCAGTATTAAATTGTCTTACTCCAAAAACTGGCTGTATTATATCTGTTCCCCATTGTGTCTCTGCGCTCTCTCTCTCTCTCTCTCCTCCTCTTCCTCTACCCTCCCCCCCACTCTCTCACTTCTTCTTCCTCTTCCCCTCCCCCCCTTCCCAAAACAGCCTAGTCTTGTTTGTGTCTCGTTTACTTTGCTTTTGGTAGATGAGCCATTTTGGACTTGAAACATGAACTTTGTTTCTCTCTCCGCAGATCCTGCCAGACCTGCTGAGTTTTTCCATTGTGTTTATTAATCTGTAAATGCCTGTTTTTGGAAGCTGATCAGGCTCTGGTCTGGTTGGTATTTGATTGGGGAACTGCCTGGGAACACCAGGTGCTCTTGGCATTTAAGGACTCTTGCAGGTCATGGTAGTGCCCCTATCTCTGGGCCAGAAGGTCTAGATTCAAGTCCCACCTGACAAGGAGGGTGTCACGGCATGTACAAACAGGTTGCTTTTTTTTTAGAAGAAAAAATAAAAGTTCCTCTGAAACTTTGCTCTTAAAGAGGACAGAGGTTCTACTCTAGATAACAGTGTGGAACTGAAGGAACACAGCAGGCCAGGCAGCATCAGAGGAGCAGGAACGTTGACGTTTCAGGTCGGGATCCTTCTTCTGAAATGCACCATCCTTTTGAAGAATGCTGTCTGACCTGCTGTGTTCCTCCAGCTCCACACTGTGTTATCTCTGACTCCAGCATCGGCAGTTCTTACTATCTCTGAGAGGTTCTATTCTGCTGTCTGGATCAGGCAGTGTCAGACCTACAACAGGTGTCTAAGTTATTCCAAGGTTTTCAGTTACACTGATTTAACTTGGAATCCAGCCTATGGTATTAATCACTGTGTAAAGACATCCTGATATCTAACTGAAATTAGTATTTTACTAACTTTGACCTGATGCTTCTCAATTTAAATTAGAAGGTAAAATTTTTAAAAAATTATCTGCTGTAAAGATCACCTTACAGTTTGAAAACTCATTTTTTTTGTATTGTCATCAATGCAGGAGCATCTCACTTTCCTCCCAGGAACATGCTTAACGTGTGATCTGACCCAATGCTGTAAAATTGAATACGACTTCCATTCACGTTTTCAACTCTTTTAGCAAAATAATGAAACTGTTTACTGTTGATTGCTGCTCTGTATTGGCTGGACAAATTCTTAAGGCAGAAATAGATGGGTTGCACACTAACAACGGGTGTTGGGGACTATCAAGGTATGCAGAGTTAAGATTCCCGAAATCTGACCAGCTGTGATCTAATTGAATAAGATTTAGATTTGGGTTTTATTCAGATTTTATAATGGAGCAGGCTTCAGAGGACAAATAGCCTACTCCTAATTTGTATGTTTATGTATTGAGAAGTGAGTCTACAAAGGCATCTAGATTCATTCAGTTTCATACAGAACCGTTAGAAATCCAACTGCAATCTCAGCACACAACTTGAACCTAAACTGAGTTTGATCCCACATCCTTTCGATCATGGAGACAGCTTAATTCCACCTGAATACCACTTGTCTCTGTTTTCTCCCTCATCTGCTGATGAAGCTCTGTCCAAATGACCATTCGAGAAGTCTGTGCAAGAGACCAGAGTTAGAGGACTTCAATGCCCAATTCCTCTGTTATGGACCAGACTATACCTCCTTCGAAATATTTTAAGAAGGTAGCATAGACCCTAACTTTTTCTTACTTTAAAGGTAAATGTAAAGTGCCGTGTTCCACGTGCAATGCGACTAGTTAAATTACTCATTGTTAAGCAAAGCAATTTATTTAAACACTATAGTTAAAATAAACCAAAAATAAGGAATTTAGAATAACTTGACTCTAAATTGTAAAACTTGACAGAATAATAGATTATTCTATTACTAATTAACTGTTCCAGTATAGTAGTATCCCATAGAAACACCTCTTGGCAAAAAAGCAAATTCAGAAATCCGGTCTTCTCACATGCAACACAGCAGCAGAGACAGAGATAAAAATATCAAGTGAAAACTCAGAGAGTAGCAACCAGGAAACCTTTACTGCAGTTTCCAACGCTGTTGACACTCTAACAGCAACTGATGCTGAATCTCAGAGCTAAAAAACTAAAAACTTGAAATCTTGGTCTCTGAGAGCTGGCCACGCCTAGTCAGGTTGCTTCTATTGTTTTAACTTCTTAAAATAAAGATCCAAGGCTTCACAAGCTGTTTACTGGCATTCCAATTAGACAGCTCGGCGTCTCTGTCTTAACACCTCCCTTTCTTTAAAAACAAAGGACAAAATAACCTCTTAAAGCCACAGCATCATTATGCTTTACCTCACCATTGTTGGTCGTGCTTCCTGTTGTCAAGGCCGTAATAGTGGAATTCTTTCACTATACCACACCATCTTCTATCTTTTGTAAAAACCCACTGATCTGGGTATTTCCTCCTTTTGACTTGTGCGTTAAATGTTGTCTGAACCTTCAGTGAAGGGTGTCAGGATATTTTACAACTGGTGTAAATGCAAGGTGTCATTTGAGAGTATTTTGAGAGAGTTGAGGCCACATAATAAATAAAGGCTTGCCAAGCGCATTGCCATGATCTTTGAATGCTCTTTGAGTTTACACTCACTTGAACTCACTTACTCAGATATAATGAATGCACTGTGCCTGCAGTTGGCACCAACATTTCAGTTTTTTTTTATTGCAGTGGGGTGGTGGGAGTGGGGAAATGGTTATTGCTCCTAAGTGTTAACTAAAACAGCAAAGAGGCCAGCACTGTCAAAAATAATATTAAAAGCCTTTACAATTCAGGTTGTTGTCAGGTTTTTCAGCAACCTTCATATTCTGTCCACATGATAGATGTTGTGTGATAATGTAGCATAGTTAATACAAGCTTTTTGCTTTGCCATCCACATACACTTCAGAAATGGTTCAAAAGGCCAAACATGATCTGATTTACAAACAGAAAATGCTGAATCACATAGCAGGTTGGAATGAATCTGTGACAAGAGAAACATTGTTAACATTTAAAATTGACAACCTTTGAATCAGAGTTGTAGGACATTACAGATTTCAAGCAGTCTGAATGCAAGTACAAAGCAAGGGAAAAATGTCATCTGACACTTGAACAAACACTTTCATCACCATGGTCTAACGATTTTGTGCTATAAATTCAAAGTCAGATGATAGCTCTATGTCACAATAATTCATAAAATACCTATAGTGTGGAAGCAGGCCATTCGGCCCAATGAGTCACTGAAACCCCACATTGACCACAGCTAATCCATCCCTGGACACTATAGGCAATGTAATATGGCCAATCCACTTAACCTGCACATCTTTGGACTTTGGGAAGAAACGGGGGCACCTGTAGGAAACCCAGAGAAGGTGCAAACTCCACACACATGGTGACCTGAGGGTGGAATCGAACCCAGGTCCCTAGTGTTGTGAGGCAGCAGTGCTGACCATTGAGCCACCACGCTGCCCAATTGGCAGACAAGCACAGAGGCATTGAAGAAGCTCTTCTATTCAGGGTTAATGTTAACAGTAATATGCACCTCTCTGCTCCAAGTGTTTGTTGGTTCTGATGTCCCAATGGCTGGATCTTTCAGATCGTAACCACTTTGTAACAGAATAATCTCCAGATACATTGCAATCACAGTCCATTTCTTCTGATTAAAACTTGGAAATTGTGCTGCCATTTCTCATTTCATGGAACTGCAACATTAAAACAAATCTCCTTTTCATTAGTAAATGGTCTTTCTTGTCACATATTGTACTGTTATTGAACAATGTGATACCACTGAATGTTCAATCAACTTTCTTCTGCACAGTGGATTGTGTCATTGTGTTGGGTGCAGTAGAAGTTTTCCCTAAAGTTCTATCATCAGTAATTTGTATCTTCTTGAAATTCTGCAGGTTTTCTCGCTCAGATGAGTTGTCCAGACACAAACGCTCCCATTCAGGAGTGAAGCCGTACCAGTGTCACATCTGTGAGAAGAAATTCGCCCGCAGCGATCATTTATCAAAACATGTGAAAGTACACCGGGGACTAAAACATAGCAGAATAACCAGAACAACCAGTTAACACTGGGCTGTCCTTTTCTCCTTTTATAGGAAAGTATACCAGAGCCATTGAACTTTGTAAATGGAATGTACAGAAGATATCACAATTATTAATATGTGTCTGTAATCATTGAATATGGGTGGGAATGGGTTTTAACAGCTCTTAGTTTGAAAAGTTATTTCTCGAAATGACAAATGAATTGCATTTCTAATGTAAATTTTACTCATTCTCACTTTATGACTTCAGAAAAGTTGGTTGGTTCATATTTATCATTGTAGTATAGGCTCTTTTGGCTGATGAGATGTCAATGTAAAAGAATCAGTGTCAAGGACTTAATAGGTAAATTTAACACAGAATTGACAAAAGAAGTAGATGGGAGACTTGAGAATTTTTTTATGCATTAAGTTGTTTATAATTCAGAATTCCTGAAAGGATGTAGATTCATGAGTAGTTTTCAAAAAATGGTTGATTGAGTACCTGAAGAGGAGAAAACAATAATAAAGGACAGTTTAGTGTGAATAATTTGGATAACTTTTTAAAGAGCTGGCACAGGTGTGATGATCTGAATGGCTGCCTTCTGTGCTGTAAGATTTTGTAGTAGGTACGATAGTTTTTTAGTAGCTAATCCAATTACATAATCAGTTGTTCCCCTGAAATGCAAACGGCAGTGCAACAATTATGAAGATTATCAGACAGGAACCTCACAAGCTTTAAGCAATTGTGCATGCGAGGGATCACTGCTAGCAATCCATTGGGTTGGAGTTTAAATTCTTTCATAAATGGACAGTACTGGAGAAACACACAAGGATAATAGGTTGTGAAACTGAATTCCATATACCTGCTCGTTTGTAGCTAGCACCTGGAAAAGAAATAGCATTCTAGCTTACACATGACACAGTTTCACACTGTGGTTGACTTTTAATGGCTTTTTAAAGTAGCCTTGGCTATATTGGGTATTTTTTTAAATATCAGTCTCAGAGCAGCTAGGATTGAGCATTAAACATGGTCTTGCTAACATGATTAATAAACTGAGAACAAATTTTAAAAGGCACCACAGTAAAGCTTCCTCATCCACCCAATTGAGTTACTTCTCCATATTGCAGGGATGTCGCTGTCTTCTCCTGCCAGCCACTCTATAAGGAACTCTGATTTCTGTCAATTGAAACTGTGGTAGAGGTTCTAGATTTTTTTTTTCCCCCTAATCAACCTGTTCAGGGATGTTATGAAATACCTCTGGAGCAGGTGGGACTTGAACCTAGGCCTCTTGGCCATTGCATCACCAGAGCTCGTGGTGCTGGTTCTGCATCCTCTTTCCAGACAGCGAGAACAACTGTCTAATACAGTCTGCCTTCCAGCTCCCCAAATCCAGTGCAATTTAGCATCTAGGTACACGTTGAATGATGAAATAGTTTTACTGTTACAAGCCTACACAGAAGATTATCCATATAATCATCAGACGGTATTCTATTCAATCGTATACATTGCATTCAATTTTTTTCTCAAAATTGCCTGTTTACTATTTGGTGGTTATGCTACTCCTCACTTGGAGTCCAAGTCACTGTGACAACATGCACTTTTACATGCATGTTGTAGTCTAGAGATGTAGAAAGTGATGGTAGAGGCTTAAACATTGTTCCATCACACAGGTGATGCTCTTATCATCTGCCATTGGTTTGTGTTGGAAGGTTTTGAAGTAGATGGCCTGTTTGCCCATCTTATGAACATACCTTCCTTTGCCATTAAATCCGGGCGTAGGGCTCAAACACGGGCACCTCGCTGCTGAGAGGAAGGGAGACTACCTATTGTGCCACAAGACAAAATCTTTATTTACTCTTCATTAATGCAATCTTGCCACCTTGGCCCTAACCTTTTCTATCAATAACATTTTTGCAGCTAACACATCAAAAATCTTGCACTTAAAACTTTGCAGTTAAATTTCTAATCAAGTCCTTCAAGAAACAGTGTACCTTAACCTCAAGCTCACAAAGCGTCTTTAAAATAGTAGTCATTTACTCGACCTTAAAACAAAATTATGTTTGCATTTTGCATAAGCTGATTCTCTTCTTTGCATCTAGCCACTGGGTTTTGTTTAGTACTTTGCACCATTTATTCTACAATTCTTTACTTCTTGGAGCCTCAAAACTGGAACTCGTCACTGCCTAGACTTTAATTTTGCCTGTAACCTCAGAGACCATATGACCAGGAATGCGTCATTCAGCCTTTGAAGCCTTTCTCCACCATTCAATTTGCACTGAAACTGATCTGTACCTTGACAATATTTAGCCCCTTGGTTCCATATTTCTTAGTACCCTTATCTAACAAAAATCAATCAATCTAAGATTTTAAAACTCTAGTTGATCTAGCCTCAATAGCATTCTAGGGGAAGGGTGTTCTAGATTTCCACTACATTTTGAGTGAAGAAATGTTTCCCGACATCATCCCACAACTCAAATTCTAAGGTAATGACCCTTTATCCTTGATTTATCGCGATCAAACTTATAAAATCCAAATATCTCAGTTATGTCTCCCCTTTAATTACAGCAGATTTGGTGCTTTCCTGAATTATGGACCTATACTTGGACTTTTTTAGTGTTGTATTGTGCAGCATAAGTGAAAATCACAGAGGATACAATGACAGAACTGACTTTTTAAAGGTTTACTTGGATAGCCTTATCTGGAAAAGGGCTTTGGGTGTATTGGAATGAATTGTCCTTGTGTGAAAGAAAATGACATGGGTGTGATTTTAAATTGCAGGTCATGATTTGTGTCTGCGAGAGAACTATGCTTGGAATTTATCAAGAACATGAGTGAATTTTATTCTCTTACTAGGATGGTTCCCACACACTGGGTGTTGGCAGATGAGTTAACTGTGGATATTTGCACACAAACAGTGGTCACACAGAATTACCAGAGGTTTGCTAGTGCCTGTGGAACAGTGCTGTAAATTGTTGCACCCCGAGAGAAACACAGTAAATTGAATTGGGGAAAGCCTTATACGAAGAATTCCATATGAAAGTTAATAAAAGTGCTTTAACTCAAAGAAAACCTACAAAGGCTTTAAGTGAAGTCACTCACAGATTCGAGACAAGATGATGATTAGTCTATCTTGAGAAACATAATAAATTTTCAATTTTGTAAAATAAGATTTTAACTCATTGGAAGCCCTATCTCACATCACTCTTGCATACTTTGATTTGAACCCATTTTCCAGTGTAATTATGAATTGAAAGGCACAAATGCCAATTCTGGTGAAATCTGTACTGGATGGAAGCTTTCACATGATTAGTGATTATATTGGCAAACACATCTATACTCCTTACAAATTTACTAAATGGAGACAATCTTGACAAGCTTTATAGTTCGAAATTCCTGCCTGTTAGTCGGTATTGGGCAATAAACTGGCTGCTAAGGCCACTCATTTACAAGTACAGACTGAAATTACCAATCTGAGCACCTACCTACATTGAACATCTGTATTACTAGTAATAGGCTTTAGAAGATGCTCACTAATGATGTTCCTTTTTGTAGCATACCTCTTCTGAGTCACTTTTTGGCTTACCTTCCCCCGTGTCCCTTAATATGGGGGTAGGTACATAAATTATAATACATGGATTTAATCCAAATCTTTATTATTAGAGTCGGTCTAATGAATAAGCAAGTGATTTTAACTGTGCAGCACAGAACAAAGTAATGGTACACTGTAAATGTTGTAAAAATGTCTAATGTGAATAGTGCTTGTAGAGCCTATATTTTTCTTGCTGTTTAATTTTTTTCATGGTGAACATAGAACAGTACAGCACTGTACAGGCCCTTCGGCCCACAATGTTGTGCCAAACTTTTACCCTAAACCTAAGGTCTATCTAACCTCCACCCCTACCTTATACTACCATCCATATGCCTATCTAATAGCTGCTTAAATGCCCCTAATGAGGCCGACTCTGCTACCCTCCCTGGCAATGCATTCCATGCCCCTACCACTCTCTGAGTAAAGAACCTACCTCTGATGTCTCCCCTATATATACCTCCATTCACTTTAAAACTATGCCCCCTCGTAATAGCTTCCTCCACCCTAGGAAAAAGTCTCTGGCTGTCCACTCTATCTATACCTCTGATCATTTTGTACACCTCTATCAAGTCACCTCTCATCCTTTGTCATTCTAAAGAGAAAAGCCCTAGCGCGCTCAACCTTTCCTCATAAGACCTTCCCTCCGTTCCGCGCAACATCCTGGTAAATCTTCTCTGCACCTTTTCCAACGCTTCCACATCTTGCCTGTAATGAGGCGACCAGAACTGGACACAATACTCCGGATGTGGCCGAACCAGGGTTTTGTATAGCTGGAGCATAACTTCACGGCTCTTGAATTCAATCCCTCTATTAATACAAATGTCAGAAATTTTGTTCTCTGGTTGACCGAAAAATTCAGCACCACCAGAGGAACTTGCGGAGGATCTTCAAGAACAGAATTTCATTTAGACTGAAGCAAATTTTCTTTAAAATAAATTTTCTAGCCACTGACTTTGTTCCTGAACATTTTACTGTACACACAGCAAGAAAGTCCATTAAACACACGGTTGTCATGATGATTGTTTTTTGTTTTGAATGAAGAGGTCACATAAATGCAGCATAACACTGTATATATTTTTATTTCAATAAACTGATAGATCTGATCTAATCTAATGCCTTGGGTGTTTAGTAATTGTTTTTGTGCAAAAGTTTCAATAAAGAGTCCAAGAGGGCATGCCTAATAATCACAGTGGTGTCAATGGTGAAGCTACAACACCAGACAACTTGTGTGCTAAACAGCATAAGCAGCAAGTGACCAATGGGACGAAGTGATTCCAGAGCTTCAGATCAGATTTAAGTTCTTCAGTCCTGCCACATCCATGGTGGTAGACCATTCACTAGAGGAGAAAGCTACATAAATATCCTGTCGTCAATGATGGAATAGCCCAACATATCAGCACAAAAAGCTGAAGCATTTGCAACAACTTTTAGCCAGAAATGCTGAGTGGATGATCCATCTCAGCCTCATCCAGAAGGCCCCAGCAAAACAGATGTCAGTCTTCAGCCAATTCAATTCACTCCATATAATAGCAAGAGATGGCTGGAGGTACTGCATAATACAAAGGCTATGAGCTCTGACAAAATTCCAGCAATACTACTGAAAGTTCTGTGTTGCAAGGCAAATGCCCCTTGTCAAGCTATTCCAGTGCTAACTGACATCTACCCAACAATATGGAAAATTGCCCAGATACGTCCTGTAGACAAAAAGCAGGTGAAATCCAACCCAGCCAATTTCCAGCCCATCTGTATCAGGAAAGTGATGGAGGGGATCTGCAACAGTACTTTTGAATTATACTTGCTTAGCAAAAACTTATTCAGTGGCAATCAATTTGACTTCCACCACGGCCACTCTGCTCCTGACCTAATTACAGCTTTGGTTCAAACATTGACAAAACAGCTGAATTCTAGAGGTAGGTGAGAGTGACAGCCCTTGACATCAAAGCCACATTTGAGTGATTGTACATCAAAGAACGCCATCATAACTAGAAATGGAAATTAGGCCGAAAACTACCTTGGTTAAAAACATATGTGGCACAAACAAAGATGTATGTGTCAGTAATCTCAGCTCCAATGACATCTCTCCAGGAGTTTCTAAGGGCAGTGTCCTTGAACCAACTATCATCTACTGCTTCATCAATGATTTTTCGTCATCATAAGGTCAAAAGTGATGATATTTGCTGATGACTGCACAATTTTCAGAGTCATTTGCAATTCCTCAAATACTGAAACAATCTGTGTCCTAACGCAGCAAGACTTTGACAATATCCAGGCATGGGCTGACAAGTGACAAGTAACATTTAAATTACACAAGACAAGAGAGAATCTAAATCACCCCTTGATTTTCAATGGCATTATGATCAGTGAGTTCCCCTTTGTTACCATACTGGGGGTTACCATTTACTAAAAATTGAACTGGAGTAGCCATAGAAATACTGTGGCTATGAGAGCAGGTCAGAGTCTAGGAATACTGCAGTGATTAACACACTTCTTTTTCCCCAAAACCTGATCACCATCAACAAGGCACAAATCAGGATTGTGATGAAATACTCCCCATTTGCCTGGATGAGTGCAACTCCAACAACACTCAAGAAACTTGATATAATCCTGAACAAAGCAGATAGTTCATTTGCAACACAACCACAAACATTCATTCCCTCCATCACTGATTCTGAGATGCCATCGACAGGATGCATTGCAGAAATTCACCAAAACTCCTTAGCACCTTCCAAACCCATGACCACTACCATCAACTTTTCCAACCTCTGCTGATAAGAAAATCCCTCCATGCCCAGGATTGACCGAGTGAACCTTCTCTGGACTGCCTCCAATGCCAAATATCTTTCCTGAGATAAGGGAACCAAAACTGTTCACAGTATTCTACATATTGTCTGACCAGTGCCTTGTATGGTTTTAGCAAGACAGAACATATTTTATATTTTTAAAGGCAAAAGCACTTTGAGATCATAATAGCATAGCAGCAACTGGTTTTGACTTTAATAAAATGGTTAGAATATTACAGCACAGAAGGGGTCATTTGGCCCAATGAATCTGCACCTGCTCTTTGAAAACAATCCAGTTTCACTATTTTCCATGTTCCTGAAAGTTTTTTTATTCTCTAAGTATTCATTCCATTCACTTCTGAAGGCTAACTTGGAATCTGTATTCACCACTTTATCACAGGATTTGGTTTTTTTTTCTTCTTGTTTATAATCTAAGAAACAAATAGATTTCTAGAAGTTCAGGGTGTTGAGACATATGGGAGAGAACAGAAATATGATGTTGAGATCAAGGATAAGCCATAATCCATATTGAATGGTGGAGCAGACTTGATGGGCTGAAAGGCCTGGTCCTGCTTCTGTTTTCCGAGTTTCTATCTTCCTGATCATATTAAATCTGGCTGCTCCGGTTAGCAATCGTTCAATCATTGGAAACAGTTTCTCTAATTGTTCTACATAAACACTTAAATGATTTTAAACACCTCTATCAAATTACTGTAGGACTTCTCTGCTCTCGGCAGAACAAGGTAATCTCCAATTTAACCATGTAACTGTAACTGTAAAGCTTCATAGCACAAATCTAGCAAATCTCTTCTGTACCCCCTCTAAAGGCTTCACATCCTTCCAAAAGTGTGTTGCCCAGCATTATACACAATATTCAAGTTGGGCTGGAATAGCATTTTGTGTTGATTTATCTTAACTTTCTGGTTTTCAGACTCAATGCTTCTATTTATATAGCCATATATTTGCATTCCATTTAGTCTGACTTTGCTCTTGAAGGCTATTATTATCTTCCTCACTGCTGACAACACTTCCAAGTTGGTTGTCGTCTGAATATTAACATTGTACCCTGTATCCCCAAGTCCAAGTCATTAATGGAAGTGGTACTATTACAGAATTTTGTGGAACTCCATTGTATGTATCCCTTCTGGACAAAAAGCATACATTCATTCCAACTTTGATTCATATCCTTTAGCCAATGTTATATCCATGCTGTCTACAGGCTTCAAACTTTGCCAACAAGCCTGATTGTGTGCTAATTTATCAAATGTCTTTTGAAAGTCCATGTATGCACCATAAATTGAAGTCCATTTCTGTAACTTCATTAAAAATGTTTATCAGGTTGGTTCAACATGATGCAACCTTACCAAATCTGTGCCTTTTTTTTGTTCCATGGCCACATTTGACAATGTGGTTGCTAATTTTCTCCCAGATTATTGTTTCCAAAATATTCCCTACCAGCAACATAATTACAATTGGCAAGTTTATTCTTTTCCCTTCTTTGAACATTTGCAATTCTGCATTCTTTGGCTCCACCCCTATTCTAAGGAGGATGGGAAGATTGTGATCAGCATTCCACAATTTGCCAGCTAAAGTGCATTCCATTCAGATCAGGTGATTTTGTAAGTAGCCAGCCTTTCTGCATCTGGATTAATTTTTATTTAATTAAACACACCTAGTGTCCTGGCAGCTTCCATCTTTCCACAGACTTGGGAAAATCCTCCTTAATGAACACTGAGGTTTTTTTCTTTATTCTTTATCCATTAACGGGATGAGGGCGTCACCGGCCAGGCAGCATTTATTGCCCATCCCTAATTGCCCAGAGGGCAGTTCAGAGTCAACCACATTGCTGTGGATCTGGAGTCACATGTAGGCCAGATCAGGTAAGGAAGGCAGTTTTCTTCCCTAAAGGACATTAGTTAGCCTGTTGGGTTTTTCCTGACAATTGACAATGGAATCATGGTCATCATTAGATTCTTAATTCCAGATATTTTATTGACTTCAGATTCCACCATCTGCCCTGGTGGGATTTGAACCCGGGTCCCCAGGATTTGAATCTGGGTCTCTGGATTAACAGTCCAGCAATAGTACCACTAGGCTATTGCCTCCCCTAAAAGTAAAGTATTCATTAAGAATCATGCCATCTTTGGTCTCTTTGGTTCCATTTCTGTTATGACAACGTTTTCTCTGGTAATATGCCTGTAGAGATCTACGGAACCACCTTTATGTTACCCTCCAATCTATTCTTGTATTTCCTCTATGGCCCTTTTACTTCCCTTTATTTTAACTGATGTTCTGCACTTTTTATATTCAGCCTGGTTCTCCCTTATACTATGCCCAGTTTCTTACTTTGTTCCCCTCCGTTAATTCCATTACCATCTGAGACATTCTGGTTTTCATTGCCCTTCCTTTCTACCTGTGGGATTGAACCAGAATCTTGCCTTTCTAAAGGTTGCCCTTTGCTGCTTTAAATTTCTAACAGCCAGGCATTGACACCTAAATTACCTGGACCAGATCTCTTATTAATTCACTAAAATTAGTTTTACTTTATAAAGTATTTTATTCTATATTTCTTATGCTATAGCATACTTTTGTTCCAAAATTACAATCAGCAACGGCAATTTCAAAGAAACTCACAGCAGCATAAATCTCCAAAAATTGGCGATCTCAAGTTTTACAGCCAAGAAACAATAGCAACTGTAAGCAATGCATTCATGTTTGATATCAGCATAATATGACTTCCAGGTTCTAGAAAGAGTTACATTTTTAAGCCAAAGTTAGATAATCTGTATCTTTGACTGTCTTTTACAATGAGTCAAGGCCGCATATTGGCATCTTATGAGAAATAAAATGCAGTATTGGAATGTTATCCCTAAAACAATGTTATAATGTTGTAATGCTATATAGGAATAGAATTTTATGTAGTCACTGTAAAGCAGTAAGTCTTGAATATTAATTCAAAAAGGAAAACTGGGTATTTATATCTTGTTGCAAATGTTGGATCTGCTTTAATATTCTATTGGGTCTGCCATTCCTGAGCACTTCAGTAACTGGACCCATTGCCCAGTATTGAAAATATACTTTCCCCAACATCCAGTTAAAAAGTTGAGTAGCATGAGGAACATAATTGTGTGTACTGATTATTGAGATCCAGCACCTACTGCAGTTAGAATTACTCTGGTTTTCAAATTGTGGATTGATGAGGAGTTTCCACAAAAGGATAAACATAAACCGATGAATTTGTTTATTTTATAAGCTTCAGGTTTTATGAAAGAAAGTACACTTTTCAGAATGATGCAATCCATTTTCTGTCATTCCTTATAATCAAAAC